CAAATCCCCTCTAGGTCCTCAAGTACGGCCCTTTGACTGGATCTAAACTTCACAGAACAAATCCCCTCTAGGCCCTCAAGTACAGCCCTTTGACTGGATCCAAACTTCACAGAACAAATCCCCTTCATAAAAGGATTTGTTCTGTAAAACTTGGACTCCATCAAAAGGCCGCACCCAAGGACCTACAAGGTCACATGAGGCCTCAAGGCCCTCAGGTTCCCCATCCCCACTACCTATTCCTTATATTCGTCTAGAGTCATATTCCAGACGTGGATTAAATTCTGCCATCCCACCTACTAGACTAAGCTCCATGAAAGGAGGGAAGACGAGAAGGAAGAGGAGGAGGAGAAAGAGCTGGTGATTATATAGTACTTTCAGGATTGCAAAAAAGCATTACATCAAGAGTTCTTAACCTTTCTGCATCATGGACCCCTTTGAGAATCTGGTGAAGTCTATGGACCCCTTCTCAGAATTATGTTTTTAAATGCATTTTTTTAAAATACATAGTATTATGAAGGAAACAGATTCTACTGAAATACAATTATCCAAATACATTTTAAGACAAGTTCATGGACCTCGGGTTAAGAATTCCTGCTTGAAATACATTATCTCCTCATAACAACGTTCTCATTATTCCCATTTTACAGAAAAGGAAACTGAGATTAAGTGAGTTGCCTATGGTCACACAGCAAGCAGGATTCAAAATCAGAGCTGAGCCAGTAACCTAGTCCTCTAACTCCAGGTCCAGCTGTCAGAAACCAGTGACCTCTGACCCAGGCACGCCAAAGAGAAAAGGGAAGCGTTTAGAAGACTTTGTTGAAGACGCAGCTGCTGCTACCCTTGTGACACAGGGGAATTTCTGCCAACACTTCAGCGCTCTGCTGGGCCCCCAAATCTCAGGCAGCTCATGGCACATCCAGGCACACCAGACTCCTCCAGGGACACAGACAGTGCAAGGGAACAGAAAGAAACATGGAGGAAATCTTCAAAGATCAACCAGATCCCCTTCTTGGCTCTCTCTCTCTCTCTCTCTCTCTCTCTCTCTCTCTCTCTCTCTCTCCCTCTCTTCCCTCCTCTGTGAACAGCCAGTTCTACAAGCAGCAACTGGTCCAGAGACCAGCCTCAGACACCAACCCAACCCAGAGATTCTGGTTTGCCTTTTTGTCCTGGCAGCCTCCAAGCTGGAGAGATATTGGTACAGTCCTCAGGGATAACTAGCAGTAGCCGCAACTTGTCATCTCCCAATTCAGTTGTCCTAGTTTCCAGGGCGTCTCCCGCAAAAAAATGACACCAGTCAATTTGGGCAACATGCCACCTTTCACGTAAAAGGTTTATACTACTCCCCTCACCTCTTTGGGTACGGATTTTGACTTTTTTTTTTCTAGCAGGATCAGAGATCTTGAGTAGGAAGGGATTTTGGAGGCCATTTAGTCCCAACCTCTCATTTAACACAGAAGGAAACTGAGGCACAGAGAAGTGAAGGGACTTTCCCAAGGTCACACATAAAATCCTGCACCTAGAGCTGGAAAGGATTTCAGAGGCCATAAAGTCCAACTTCCTCATTTTTCAGAAGAGGAAACTGAGGCCCAAGGAGGTATCAGTGGGGGTTGGGGTAGGGGAGAACTTGAACCCAGGTCTTCCTGACGGGGAAGCCAACTCTCTATCAACTATACTACAGGGCTTCTGTAGCACAGGATACATTTAAATGTTCTCACCTCATGTACCTTATACCTAACAGTACATATAGGTGAGAAAACTGGTCAGAGTTAAAGGTCCTCAGAAGAGAGTTCGATTAAGTGGTCCTGCGGCCATCTAGCCAGGGGCCTAGCCTTCACCAGTGCACCTCCTCTTGTGACATGGGGGAAAGACACTGGCACTTTTCTACTTCTTCGTTGTCCTGAATCAGTTCTCACCCAACATTTATACTTAGCAAACAGCCAGCTTATCTTACTATGTACAGAAGTCAAGCAGCTTGGTTTCATTGCTTTCTGGGACCAAGGAAAAGGAGATGGGGAAGGCAATGTGACCTATTCCTTTTAACTAAAACATGCTTATGACAGGAGTAGGGCTACATAAAACTTTGCCAGGTAATTTCACTGGAACATCAGAACTCCCTGGGGATTCGATTACCGTCTTGTTTCTTTCCCATTTCCAAAAGCACTTTGTTTCAGACAATTAGAACCTAGAAACCTGGAATGGACCACATTTCAGACAAACTCTGTGGTAACTGGGGAAAGCTGTCCGGGTTATCATGGCTTCCCACCATTTCCACCTTTAGAATTAGACTTCCCCTAAAACATTTCCCCTACAAATCACCGACACAAATAAAATAAAATTAGCAGCATGCCAGCCCGACTTCCATATTTCATCACAAGAAAGAACACAAAACTGGCCATGTTTATGGAAAACAATCCTATCACCTACAACTTTCCACAGGCCAAGCCCACTGATGTCTTTGGCCAGTCTTTGGCCGATTATGGCCGGTCAGGAGGCCCTTGAGGAAGGAGTTCACCATTTGCTTTCTGGTACACCCCAGAAACTTTAATAAAGATCATTGCTTCTCTGTTGACCCATAACATGAATTTCAAGGGACGGACTTTTTTAAGAAGGGAGGGGAGTAATTATAGAACTATAGATTGTACTCACCCCCTCTCCTATTCTTCTCACCTAAGCCTTCCTGCCCTTATAGATTCAATTCAGCAAACCAATCAATCAACAAGTTCTTATCGAGCACCTCCTTTCTGGGCACTGTGCTAGATGCTGGGTATACAGACACAAAAATGAACCAGTCTTTACCTTCAAGCAGTTAATACATTAACCAATCAGCAAGCATTTACTAAGTGCCCACTATGCACCAGACACTCTACTGGGTACTAGGGATGTTGTTGCCTGGCCTTTGTTTTGGAAGAGGACCAATGACATCCCGCAATTGACTTGCAGGTGAACTGGATGTAAGTGAAGCAGAGTTGTACAAAGTTGTCAACCTTGCTCTCTCTTCCAGAGTCATTAAAGTCCAATGGTAAGACAAAAGTCAAGATGAGCGGCGATGGCTGGGGATGCAGTGGATGACCTTGGCATCTTCGATGCCTGCCCAAACTCTAAGCGCTCCACAGAACCTGCTCCAGCCACCTTATGTGTCTCCTTTTTTTCCTCTCAAAACTATCCCTCCATTTGTACCCCTGATCCACCCA